ATACATTAGTGTATTGTTCTTTTTCACTGAGTAACTTTCATTTTTTTCGTCTTGGAGTATTGCATCTCAATGTCAAATAATTGCATGGTTATTTTTTTATGTCGTTTTCGTATTCATGAACTTGATATTCTTATTATGTAAACATATGCGCATTTAATTCATGTAGTAATTAAACTTATCTTCAACTGTTTATGAAACATGTGAAATTAATGAACTAAAATATTAATTTGCCTTTTTTGTTTTACAATATGAGAAAACCATAAAAAGATGGTAAGGAACATGGAAAGAAAAAAACCTACTTTTAGATGAGTGATGAAGAAGTGGAAATGGTACTAAGTCGAAAGTCTCGATTCAGTCGCTATCGTACACGAGTTCGAAAGAAAATCAATCTCGATATAAATGAAGCAATGCAAATCGATGATAGCAACATTACATCGTATGCACTTTTCTGTTTTATTTCTTTTGTGTATCGCTTTGAATTATTAGAATGAATGATATATCTGATTCCGAAGAACCAAATACTGTATTCATTGATAAAATACCAATAGTAACGCATGACGTATGTACTCAAACTTTAGATTCGTTGTCTAATCCAGAAATTAAACAACATATCATTGAAAATAGTCATGGTAACTATATAAATCAATTAGAAGGTAGTAGTAGTATATTTCAACTTCTAAATGATTATAATAATAAATTTAAAGATAATGATTTGCATGAGTTTTCTGATGATGGTACAGATTCTATTGATACGAATGACGATGTGGAAGAAATATATGAAGCTCAGTGCAACGTATTCGATAATGATTTTGAAACTCAAGAACCACCAAATGCTACTGAACTTTCAGTAATGTTACTTTTTGTTTGGAGAAAGCATTCTATGAGTAAAGCTGCCGTGAATGATATTTGTCGAATTTTGAATGCTTTCAATGTTCCAAACATGCCTAAAGATTTTCGCGGGGTGATGTCACACATTAAAAAAAATAATCCTACATTACTTCACGGTAATCAATCGTTTATTTGTCCATCGTGTTTCAATAGAAGTTTAAATGCTTCAAAATGTAATGTCAAGGGATGTCAATCTGCTTCATCCTATGTTCGTACTCCAACATCAGTATCTACTTTTCCTATTTTACCTCAAATTATTGCAATTCTTGAACGTGAAAATCTTGCATCATTAACATATGAATCTGATCAATGTCGTGACGTAATGAACTCTCAACGTCATTATGAAATAGTAATGAAGGAAAAACAAACACATCCAGGAAGAAATATAGTGACTCTTACACTTAATTCTGATGGTACGTTAATTAAACGATTATCTCGTTCTTTATGGATCACATGTGCTTGCATAAATGAATTACCTCGACGCAAAAGGTTTGAAATTAATAATATATTAATATGTTCTATATCAACAGGTGCTGAAAAACCAAAAAAAAAAGAATACTCAACAATATTAATTGATATCGTAAACGAGTTAAAATTTCTTGAACACGTAGGTTTCGACATTGTATTGCCATCTGATAAAAAAGGCACTGCACAAAATTATACACATTTTCATGCCTTTACTATATCTGCTGTCTGTGATAAACCAGCACAGTCTCTACTTATGAACATAAAAGATCCAACTGGTTTTTTTAGCTGTGGGTGGTGTTGCATCACAGGTTAGAATATTTTTATTTCTAGAAATTCAGATTCTTTTTTTTCTCATTTGCTATACTATTTATTTATGTTAAACAAGGTAAAACTAGTTCTTCAGGTGCACGATGTTTCATTTCAAATGAAAAAATTCCGATAAAGATTCGTAACAATGCAACATATGATACATTTATGCAGCTTTTAGCTAGAGTAAGTTGTCTTCCTTATTTTATTTTTCATTCATAAATTTGTGTTTTTTTGTTTAGAATTATGTGCCAAAAGATCCTATGAAAGATAAAGCATGTGGACAGTTAGGTTATTGTGCGTTACGTGAACTAACTTATTTTGAAATCGGAGAAAGTTTCTGCTTCGATTCTCTTCATGGGTTATATGCTGGAACATTTGTAAGCTCTTTAATTTTTTCAATTTTGAATACCTAATAACGAGTTTCAATAAGAAAGTGGAGACGTTTTCCTAATCATATGAGTGTAAATCTCTTGATGAAAGGCCTAGATCTTCATATTTTTATCTATGATGTCATAAAGTCTCACGCGATGCAAAAATTAAACTACATTTAATGTAACTTCAATAATTGTTGATCATAATCTTGCTCAATTAAATTAGCAGACTACAATTTTTAGTATTTGTACTTGTATTGTGCAAATTTCTAGAGTTTTATGAACAAGCGGTCCGTCCTATTCGTATTCTTTTTTTCACCAAGTACTTTTCTGACATAGATAGGAAGATTTAGTGGAATCAAAGTTTGTTGAACATTTCATATCCTGGACCCTATCTTTCTTTCTAATAATTCTAAATGTAGAATGTGAAAAAATCTGATTATGTGTGGGCAAATATTTAATGATATCTTTTTTTCTGAGAATGATAGCGAGCTGTATATGTACACAAAAAATTATGCACTCAATCTTCGAGCAACAATGAACTTCCATCTAAATAGTTTCAACTTTCTTTTTATTTTTGTTAACAGAGAAAGCTAATGTATTTGTGGTTTGATGCTGTAAAAGCTGATTATTCAATTACAAAAAAAGAGTTTGATCGACTGGAGAAATTGCTGCAAACTATTCATTATCCAACTACGAATCGATTGCCACGTCCTTTGCGGTGTTTTAAATCATGGAAAGCGAATGAGTTTAGAATTACAATACTTTTCGGATATAAGTAATTATACATCCCGTAGTGTAGTGATTCATTCGATTCAAACCTTTTCTCTTGTAGATTGTTTGAGCAAGTAATGAAAAAGAGATATTATGAACATTTTCGATTATTGGCATATGCCGCAATTTTTTCCGAAACACGAACATTAACAACAAATCGACTAAATCAAATCAAATGTCTTTTAGACATATTCTTAAATCAATTTCCTTTGCTCTACGGTGTCCGTATATTAATAACTAGCTTTTTACTCTTTTAATTTTATTCTTCTGTTTCCACTTTTAAAGGCAGCCAATTGTGTTTCTATTGTACACTCTCTAGCACACGTTCATCAAACATTACGTAAATTTGGACCTCTTCATAACTATAGCACCTTCAATTTCGAAAGTACAGTTGGTATGTATGTCTCATTCACTTCACCATAGTAGTTTCTATTTTACCAGCTAAGTCTTTTAAATATACATAACAATGTATTGTTACAGCTATAAATAATAATTTTACACAGTAAGACAGAAGTGCCTCCAGCTTGTAGCTCTGTTGAAAACAACTAACGAATACCCTTATTTCTATATTTATGATCAATTTTTAATATACTAACATACAAACTATCAATTTAGATAGCCCAATAGCACAATATTCGACTAAAAAGCTCATCTATCAAACAACGATATATTAATAAACCTTACTCTACTTAATACGCATGCATCATTCTGATAGCATCAGTAATTTTTTATCAGAGATGTTCAACCGGGCTTGACATTTGTAACTGCCTTACAGAACTTAAATCTAAACCTGCCGCAACTCGATGAGTAAAAAATAATGATACCGCTGCTCGATCGCTTTCCAGAAACTACGATAATCTCTTCCTACATTGTATCATATGAGCACTGCTAGATTCGATCGAGCAGGTTTACTTTCATTTATTATTTTCGAACTTTTACACGCTCAGATTGAATGAAAATTCATCGAATTTTACAATCTTTCAAAAACGAAACTGTCACCACCATCCTGCTGCCAGCCTCATTCAAGTCTATTACTGAAATGCTACCACTTCATTACTCCCTGCTGTCACCAGACTGCAAGTTTGCTGTCACCCTGCTGCTAACCTGTTGTCAACATCCTGTCAACTTGCTGCCAGTCTGCCACTGAACTGCTATCTCCCCCATTACCCCCTGCTATCACCATGCTGCTAGCTTTCTGTCAAGCTGTTGTCACTCTACTGTCAGCTTGATACTGAGCTGCTGTCATCTCCCTGCTGCACAATGCTGCCACTCTGCTCCAGTCTCGCTTTCACCCCTCTGCCACGGGGCCACCGCACCATGGTAATTTTTAAAAAATTTACCGTTAATGCCGTGTCAGTCGTGGTACGGTAGCAGCGGCGTCATCATGGGTATCTCTAGTTTTTACATTTCTTGCGGCAGATGATGGCTGAGTCTTGGTACTTTTTTGACTCGTTTCGGCATAAGTTTTTCGTTCGAACACAATGCAGATTTTGTATATCTAATATGCTGTTGTTCTTTCTGATTAGGATCAATCGTAAAGTCTATATATGGTCCGTCGGTGATTATACCTGAGCTTATTAATAATTTTGAGTTGGTATCTCATGCTACTGCTATTCTTAAAAATCAGTCCTTTCATCCAAAAATTGCTTTACTCATAAATCAAATGCTTTTTTCAAAGAGACGAGCTGTACCAACATTCATCAGTCCAAATATTGAAATTCATCTGGCTCATCCAACAACTGTTAAATTTCTACATGTAGCCACATATCTCGAGACCACATACGGCAAGGAACAATTCACCCATTATTCACTATGCTTTGTTAAAGGTGTAACTTTCAAGGTTCATTGTCCAACAAATAAACAAGTGGATGATTCGGCTTTGGTTTATGTTGATGAGTCCGACAATATTCATCTTGGTGTAATTGCAGGAATTGTCAAACTCAAAGATACTGGCAATATCTTATTCATTGTCGATGAAGCAAAAATTATTGGTTATGATTCCTTTCTACTTAATGGCACGGAATACATAAATGATTTCTTTATTTTTGCAACATTAAAAACTCCACGAACCACTGTTTCGATTCACTATGATTCAATCAGAGAAAAAGTTGCATATCGATCAGATGAAAATCTCAATTCTGTTTGGGAGTTCCATCTATTTCCAAATCGTCTAGAATCCACATAAAAACTCTTAAAATAGCTACTGTTTGTTACTGTTTTTCATTGATGCTTCTTTTTCTTTTCAGTTTTCTATTATATATATTTGGTCAACTGTTTTATTCAATATCATTTAACTCTAGATTATTTATCACAGTAAGTATTATTTGCATACAAGGAAAATTAATGTGAACAACTATCTGACATTGCACATATAATAGCATCAAATTTCACTTTCATGCAAAGGAATTTGCA